GGCTACCATTTCAAGGACTTGAGTCCTCTTCCGTATTTGACCTCCCACGGTCATTACCTCTGGTCTCATATTCATGAGCACCAACCTCAACTATATGAGGATAATCTTGTGACTCCTTTATTGTTTTGGAGTCTACATCTTTCCCATGATCCCAACTATAGTTGTTTATCACAACTACGTTAGCCCGTTTGCTGTGTCAAACGCTCATTTGGATCACATCCTCAGCTCTCTGAGGAGACCTTATACTGTTCCCAAGATCCCAAAGTCATTCCATTATTGGCCCTTTTCTATCCATCACATTGTGCCCAAGTTCACGCATGAATTTGAGTGGAGAGCCATGTCCTCTCGACATGCTACTCCTCAAGGATAGGCCCACTCTTAGGACCTTCCGATGCCAACATCAATGGTGATATACTTGAGCACCAATAAAAGTCGGACTAAGGAACAACTCCGATACCAAGTTGTAAGCAACTAAATTTTCCATTCCACTTTAGTCACTTAACCACCCCTTCGACCACTTGGAGGAGTCTCAATCACAACCTCCATAAGTCCATTTCAGGACTTGGGACTTGCTAGCCCCGAGAATGGCATCCATGCCGCTCAACATTTGTACTTGGTCCAAGTGCTCCACGTGTCCGATCCCATGACCGACACTCAAAAGTACCACCGACATGGCAGCCTGTTACGCTAAGGCCATGCCCAATCACCTTTGCCACACTGGTAGTCCAATACCACTTGTATCACAGTCTTGGCTCTCCAAGACTAGGCAAACCATCCGTGAGTGGTCATCTCAGATCCAATCCTTAGCATCCTTAGGATGCCCACCGACAAGGGGAATAGCTTCCCCCAATATCCCTCTGTCAGTCCCCACTAAGTCCCTTTCTGCCCTTGGCCGTGTTTGCCAACACTGCCACTGGATCGAGGCCCACAGGCCCGACCACTAAGTCCCACGGTCCTCTGGGACTTCCTCACCTCATGACTGTGTCCTTGGTCACTACCCCAGAGGGCTGCTCCTCTTCCTTTCCACAGTCTGGGCCTTTGGGACAACATTTCGGAACATCGTGGCCTTATGCGAGCCACTTGGGTACTCTCCCCGCCTTCCGCCCTTGGGTGCTCTAGCCATGGGCTTAGAGCGAGGTTCCGTTGAGCCACGCCTGGTATCCAAGTAGGTAGTGCCACCCACACTTGGATTGGGAGCATCGGCCAGTCGATCTCCCGGGGGAACTAGAGCCGGCTCTTAAACACTTCACCAAGCTACCCCGCTTGTCGGTCCGTGTTCACTCTAGTTTTGGACTTCCCAGTGGTCAGCTCCTCACCCAACACTGGGTCTGGCCTTCCTGGGCCAAACTGGCCTTTCCTGGCCAAACTGGCTCCACTGGGCTCCAACCCCCACACTCTCCCTACTATACTTTTGGAACCCCCCGCAGCCCCCCCCCCCCCCGGGGGACGATCGCTTTGGGCTTTCACCCAACTGCCTGTATTAGTATTCGGACTCAGACTCGGACTCGGTCTCGGTCCCGGATTCGGACTCGGACTCGGTCTCAGTCTCGGTCTCGGTCCCGGTCCCGGTCTCGGTTCCATCTCGGACTCCACGTCGGGTCCATCTCGGACTCCACCTCAGGTCCATCTCGGACTCCATCTCGGGTCCATCTCGGACTCCATCTCGGGTCCATCTCGGACTCCATCTCGGTCCATCTCGAACTCCATCTCGGACTCCACCTCGGGTCCATCTCGGACTCTACCTCGGGTCCATCTCGGACTCCATCTTGGGTCCATATCGGACTCCATCTCGGTCCATCTCGGACTCCATCTCGGACTCCATATCGGACTCCATTTCAGACTCCATCTCGGACTCCATCTCGGACTCCATTTGGGGTCCATCTCGGACTCCATCTCGGACTCCATATCGGACTCCACTTCAGGTCCATCTCGGACTCTATTTTGGGTCCGCCTCGGACTCCATCTCGGACACTTCCATGTGTCATGTGTTGGTCCTTTCAAGTCCCTTTTTAGAGCCTCGCTTATGGCTCGCTTTGTGCTCATTCCTCGAGCACTTTGTTGGGAGTTCCACTCCCGCTCTCGACCTTTCAAGTTGGAGCTTTTAGTCCAAACGTGTTACGCTTGTTTGGCTTTCGCTTCGGCCACTACCACGTGGCACCCTTCCAACTCCACTTTGGGGCCTAGGGACTTTGTGTCTCACACTTACATTTGGTATCAAAGAGGTCTCAAATTTGACAATGTTAATTAGCTAAGGGAATTGCACCATATATTGATTGATATCTGGTAGATACATTTGCTTTAGTTGGGCTTGATCCGAGGGGTAGGGTGTCAAGAGAGGGGCTTTTGGGAGAGTTGTGGCTCTTAGTTTCTATTCACGAGGGTGTAAACTTCCAGGGAAATGTGATGGATTATAGGCAACCAAAGAGAACGACTTGAAAAACAATCTATAGGGTTCAAATATAGAGAGAAAGGGCCCATGAACAAAAGTGCACCCCCTTTTTCAATCGGTTAAGGGTCTTGGGATTAGTTGGGTTTAAGCATCCTTGAATTTGAATAGCATTAGGCTGGGTAACCTCCCGGAAAGTCTAAATTCAAGAGCTTTACACAATGCATGTTACTCCAAAATTATTGGGAATTGAGACTAATGTCTCACATTTATGTGCTCAGGTTTAAGTTCTTTAGCAGTGCCATGTTTTTAGGGCTGTTGAGATCTAAGGGTAAAGGGCTGCCAATCAAGATGGATTTACTGTTGTGGGACTAATGTTACTCATATAAGCTAGATCTACAACTCAATTATTTTGAAGCCAGATTCCATGTTAGAGGAGTGGTTAGTTGAGTGAAGTTGCAATCTTTTGAAAGAAAAAATTGAAAGTCTGAAGAGTGTAGGTTTCAAGTTGAAGACTTCCTCAAATGTTTTTGTTGATATTGTTATGCCACCAATGTCAACACTAGACTGGTAGACATAACTAGCTAGAAATGAGAAAGTTGTACAATATAGGTCTTCCATTTCAAAAGATGTGCAAGAGAAGATCAAGCTAGTAAAAGAGTTGAAGTGCACAATCATAAAAATAGTATATTGCATGTGGTGGCTTGCTAGGCTCTAAACATTAGCAAAGGCATACTCCAAAAGCCTTTATTCAATTATAAACATGTTTATAATTTATAAACACAAGATTAATCTTATTGAATATCAACCATTAGATGGTAAAATTAACTAGAATATACTAGGAAATGTTTAGGAAAGTTTATAAATTATAAATACAAGATTAATCTAAATGAATAACAATTGTTATATGATAGCATATCCTAGAATATTCAAATATGATGTATAAGTGTCCTTGATCTCCACGGAACATGCCCTCCAGGATTAAAGTTAATGCACAAGTGTCCTCAAACTCCATCTTGTTTCACACACAATTGGGTTAATGAGCAACAATTAAAAGCTTCTTCCTTCAATTGGAATGGTTGTTTTTATTATCCTCACGCTGCAAAGTTTGCAACTTTTAAAAATTTGACTTACTATTATTAGAAGATTGGTCGTTCTTTTTCTCTTATTACTTGTTCTTCAACTGTGGATAATCAAATTTATAGTGTCCAAGCTTGTTATAATAATAACAATCCTTTTTATAATTCTTCACAAAGAACTTTTGCTTCTTTGACCCCTTTGCATCCGAAGTAGCCACCACAAACTTTAACTTATGATATTTCTTCCCATCCTTATGTCCACAGTGATCATCACAACAATTCTTTACAGAAAGATTTCTTAAATGCTTGCAAAACTTGTGCTTGTGACACAATTGTTGCTGCATGCTTTCATTATGAAAGCCATCAATAAAGTAGGATTTGTTTTAATCTGGATCCTTTGTTAGAACACAATTAGTCAAGCGAGTAAACTTCTCAATATAGTCCCTGAGCATTATTTTCCCTTACTGGAAATTCTAAAGTTTTATGCAAGCATTCTTTAAATCATAGTGAAGGGCAAAAAGTAAAAGAAAGTAAGCTCAAACTCATCTACACATAAAACATACCTCTCAAAGTAGAAGTGTAACATACATGGTATCCTGGATGTTGTGATGTGAAAAGGGGGTGGACATAACTCGTTCATTGTGTTGAACTCTTTTTACATGACTCAAGGGGCTTGACACTCCCACTCTGGCTTGATCAGCTGAGAGGATGGACTACCCCCCACTCAACCGAAACAGATGGAGAGGAGACAGCGCGATGGCGTTCAAAGGAGTCTCGAGCCAAAGCCTTCGTGAGTATATCAGCCACCATTGCCTCGGTGGGGCAATATTCCAGCAACAACTTTCCATTTTGGACTTGTTCCCTCACGTAGTGGAAACGAATCTCAATGTGTTTCGTCCGAGAATGGAAGCAAGGATTAGCGGCCAGTGCAAGAGCACTTTGGTTGTCCGAGAACAGCACCATAGGGCCGGTGCAAGCAGGAATCTGGGGCAGGTCATGGCAGAACTGGGTCAACCAAATCGCTTCTTTGCTGGCAGCGGTTAGGGCAATGTACTTTGCCTCTGTTGGAGGACAGAGCCACCAGCGGCTGGCACTTACTGCTCCAGGACACAGCAGCCCCATGGAGCAAGAACGCATACCCAGAGGTAGAGCGCCTTGAGTCCTGGTCGCCCGCCCAGTCCGCATCCGAGTACCCATGAAGTTCCTGTGACACAGCAGCCCCATAGTGAAGCTGCAATTGCAAGGTACCTCGAATGTAGCGGAAAATCCGCTTCACAGCTTGGCAATGTGCAGGTCCAGGGTGCTCGAGGAACTGGGAAACCATCCCAACAGCATAGGCGAGATCTGGTCGCATTCCCAGCATCAAATAAACAATGCTCCCCACAGCTTGACGATACATGTACTCTCGTTCTTCCTCTGTGACAGGGGCCATGTCACGAGTTTGTGATTCACCTCAAGAGGTGTGGCCACGGGAGAGCAGTCCAGCATATTGAAGCGTTCCAAGATCTCCCTTGCATAGTGAGCTTGTGTCAAGCTCAAGGTGCATGCTCCTGAGCGTGTGTCAAGCTCAAGGTGCGTGCTCCTCGATTGCATATAATTTGGATGCCAAGGAAATGGCGAAGCTCGCCCAGGTCAAACATCTCAAATTCTTCACTCAGCTTCTTTTTCATCTCGTCCAGCAGGTGGCGGGTTTTTGCACCGAGAATGCAGTTGTCAACGTACACAGCAAACAGGAGAAAATCGTCACCACACTTGTATAGGTACACGTTTCCTTCTACTGCAAGAGGAACACACCCCAGGCTCTTGAAGACAGAGGTGGCTTCTGGCAGAGGTGTAGCTGGAGGGCATGGTGGCAGTGCTGGAGAAACCACCACGTTACCACCACCAGGAGCAAGAGGCAGCAACAGGACTTGCGAAGGAGCTGTAGTCACATGAACTGTATCCACCAGCTGGAGTTCCATGAAAGTAGGAGCAGGAACTTCAGCGCGATCCTTGTACAGCTTGCTCTCATCAAAGAGCACATCCCGTCTTTCTGGCAAAGTCTTGCGCTTGAGAGAATCAAGGCGATATCCTTTCATGCCTTCCAAATATCCCAGGAATTCAATGCTGAATAAATAGAAAGCAATAAAAAACATAAAACATACCTCTCAAGGTAGCAGTGTAATATACATGGTATCCTGGAATCTCCTTAGCTTTGTGAGCCTTCATCTTCTCATCCGCCAAACATCTATGGTGGGTAGAGCAAAAGCAGCCGTCCTTGTGGTAAACCACACCAGCCAGTATTCTTTCATCTGCAAAATGCTGCACTGCTGTCCTAACTGCCATACCTTTGTATGGCCGGATGCCATTTGGAAAAAATTCGGCGAGAAAAGCCATTGCTTCGAGCACGTGAACATTGTTCTCTTGGGATCTGTGGTCTATATACCACTCCTTGTATCAATCGTCAAAATTGAAAGCCTGTACTATAGTAGCTGTAAGCAGCTGTGAGAGACGAAAAATGAACTGGCAGCGCAACCAACAAGTGAAGTGTGCAGAATGGCAAATCACTTACTGGTTGCAATATGCGATCAGTTCGTACCACAAGGCTTCTGAATCAAGAGCAGTAAGTGATGAAGGTACGCCTATCTTGGGGACGGAGGTGTTTGATATCTCCATCTTCAACCCTGGGCGTATGCCAATGAATACCAAGCAGCTTCTCGGATTGCGCCAAGTCCAAGAGCTCCTCGCGTGTGAGAGTTTAGATCCAGATGAACCCTAGATAATTAGGTTGGGGTCTTTAGGGATTTCAGGGCCATGCTTGCCCGTCGAATAGCGGCGCTTGTGGCGTCACGGAAGGGTGGTGATGATGGTGAGTCGGAGATTGTCTCTGATCCAGGGCTGGAGCTGTTTCCATCGGCTAAAGGTTCAGCGGTTAAAGTAGCAAATAGGATAGAGGAGATGGATGATTCAAAGACCTGGGTCCTCGTTCACAGAGTCAATGGCACAGACGATTGGACATTAGCATGGAGCCCGTGTGATGGAGAACGTCTCATGATCCCGGAGCAGTTAATTGGAAGCCATGGCCTACGCTTGGCCCCTTCCTGCCACCAAATGGGTCCATTATCTTTGCTGCTCGACAGATATCATGATCAGCTCTACATTGCGTACGAAGCAATCCACGGTTGCTTTCTCTACGTCTCCTCCACCGGGAGCTGGCACCCTCTGTTAGATGTTGAAGGGGAAAAAGACGTTGAGCTTGAGTTAATGGACGCTCAAGAGGTGAGGGAGATTGGAAATACGTACACTCCATCCGTCTACTACAACCCCAAGAATCGATCATACAAGGGCTTGCTGGCGGTGCCAGATAATATTCGTCCTAAGGGTTTCCACTGGCACGAGGGCAGCTTCTACATGATGTCTTGCATACCTTTTGAAGAGTTTCAGGTCTTCAGCTGGCAGGGTGGTGAAGAAGGGTGGCAAAAGGTTGCTGCACATCCCATATACCAGGATGGGGTTGACAGATTAGGTGGTGATTTGTTTTGGTTTACGGCAGGTGGTCGCTATGCTTGCATATCTCAGGGGAATATAAGCTATCCGGATGTAGACTCTGGTCGCTTCATTGTGGTCTACGACTTGGAGGAGAGGCAGTGGCATTACCACACAATGCATGCTGATTCTGGATTTGGTATTCCAAATGTTGTTGTGTGCAACTGCGCTCCAGAGCTTGGTGATTTGGAGGCTACCACCTTCAATGCAGTTTGGGCTCAAGATCGTGTACTTCTGCAGCTACCGCCCATTTCTTCTGCATGACTTTTGATGCAATAGCATGTTAATCCTTGTTGTTTAGATTGAAATCCAACTCACGAAAGTTGGATGAACTTTGGGCATACATGAGTTTTTCTCCTGAATGCCACATTTACTGTAGATGTGGATGATCAAGTTTGAGAGGTGAGTGACATGTTCAAGTTTGTCTGTCAGATCTTGTCTATTGGACAGTGCAGCACAAGACCATCAAGAGTTGAGAATGGTGTTCGATCCAGTATGAGGAGATCCGGGAGAGGGAAAGGAGATCAAGAAAAACTTACCAGATTTTCCTTGACATGGCTGTGCTGGTGGAAGCTCATTGAGATATGATCACATGGTGGCCAACTACATGGACAGGGAACTCGCAGCCACTATGCCAGAGGAGCTCCTGGAAGTGCACGCTCATTCCAGCTGCTGCTAGTGCTCATGGTTACAACTCAGTTGCCAGCAATCACCATTGTTCCTTGCATGATAACGAGAAAGATCCACCGACTTTGAGACCCTAAACCCTAAACCCTAACATGCGAACCTTCAGATTTAGGGTTTAGGGTTTAGGGTTTTTAGGGTTTAGGCACGAATTGTGCCTGGATATTATAAGAATATTTTTTACTAAAGACACGCCCCCATGGTGCTACGATCTAGCGAGATCGATAAATGTATATGTATATTCCCCATGTCCCAATGGGACTAATACAAAAACTGGGCATGCTGCCCTCTCAATAAGCTACTCTATGTGATCCTCTTGTGTCACAGTTGGACCAAGTGCTGGAGCAGAAGTGGATGTGGTCATCTCGTTTAAATCCTGTCAATGTCCAAGTCTCCCCCTTGAGCTAAGTGTAGAATAGAGTCTAGGGGCTACCACTGTTAGCAAATCTTGCCACCTACCATTTTGCCGAAGTATGGGAGCTACCTAGACCTCCACTCTTCTAGCTGCCTTAGTTTCACTTGCTCTTTCAGGATGGTGTAATGAAGATGCACTGTGGCAAGAGTAAGTCTCCACTATGATGCCACCTCATTTGTTACCCATTGAAGTGACAGTGGTTTCGTGCCTCCCAAAGTGCTTGCACTTTTGTCGCTCTCCAAATGGACCAGCGCTTATGGCCCATCGCCTCCTAGACTGACATCCCGACTTCAGCCCTTATCACATCCCACCAGACTCATATGTTCCATTTGTGCCATCCATGACAACAAACGCACCTCCAAGCTGGACCAATGGCTGGACCTCTAGCTGGACCTCTAGCTGGACCTCTAGCTCCCTCAAACTAGTGGAGGATATCCCCGCTCCAAGCCTCGAACTCCAGAATGTCTCCCAATTCTTGCATCGCCTTTAAGATCTATTGCCATACCTCTCTCACCATGTCATATTCCTATAGTGCATGTCACACTATCTCTAGTTCACCACACTCCTTGCATCATTGGCATTCTTCCTACTGGCAACCCCTTATTTGCCACCAACCAAGAGGTGGCCTTGACTTTCTCCTGTACCAGTAGTTTCTAGAACATAAACGTGTTGTCCACCATTTGATTTGCTTTGACTCTTTGCTTGATCCATTTCTTCCAGAGCTTGGGGATCTCCCCTCGGGCCTCTTCCCTACTGGTCAAGAGACCATTCTGTGCTTCCTTGACTTCAAACAAGAAGAAGCTCCTCGCTCTTTGTTTCCATGCTATTGAGTCTCAATCCAGATCCTTGATGAATTGCTGTCGCCACCATCTGAGAATGCCAACCCCCTTTAGTGTGGCTATCGATTGAACCACCACCAATTGCTTCAGAGCCTGTCATACTACTTGAATCCTGCCCTTGACTTTGTCATCCATCACCATCGGCATGACCTGTTCATTTCCTGCTGGCAGCAGGATGTTGCCTCTCATAACCCAAAAAGGACATATGACATTCTGTTCAAGAGACACAATGAACCACACCTCCACATTGCCATCCTCCCAAGCTAGTGTTGGGGTTGTAAAAACACTTGTCCAGGCCCCCAAGCTAACTTGTTCCCTGTCTGGCTCCACATCCCATTGCAAAGCCATAAAGTCTCCAGGTTTGAAACAACACCTAGGCTAAAGCTGCCCCTTCTTCACCTCACTCACCACTCTAATGATGAAAAGAAGATTGAGGTGGACTTTCCTCCATCATCTTGGGTTAAAGACCTGCATACACCTTGTAGTCTTCCTCCTATCCTTATCCAAAATGCCCACTAGTTGCTTGAGAGTTCAGAAGCCTTTCCAATGCAGCTTTCTCTAGATTGTGTAGTGGTCTTCCTTGCCCAATATCCTATCTTCCACTTTGAAGAGGTCATTGAAGAATAAGGGCTGGTTCAGCCAGTCTTCTGCTTGCCCCGGCATTTCCCTACTGATTGGAAACTCGCTCTACAACCTGAGAACCAACATGCCACCCTTGACTACTTGCTTCGGCCCTTCAGCAAAAAGCCAATATGGATCCTCCTCCCATGGTCTTGCAGTGTTGTGCCTAGGCTGGATTGCCAATAGACTATGCCTAAACATGAGTCTCCAAGGTTGGTTACCTGGTTGAAGGCCCATAAGGAGGATTTTGTACCATAGTGCCTTTGCCATGTTGCTCGGATCGATAACTTCAAGTCCTCCTAGGACTCGTAGACATGCTGTGGATTGCCACACGACCTTGGCCATGATCCTCCTTGTGACAAGTGTGCCCCGCCACACATACTTATGAACCATTGTGTACCTTTTTGAGAGTGCGTTCAAGAACAGGCCAGATTGAGAGGTGGTACCAAATGCTGGGCAAGATAATGCTCCTAGCTACAACCACTCTTGCTGGCAAATTGAGTTTTCGAGGAGCCCACTTCTGGATTGACAATTGTATCCTTCGGAGCAAGGTGTCATCCTGAAGTGCTGCACTAAACCAGGTACCAACCTGAATCCCCAAGTACCTGGTGTCCTCTCCTAATTTGAGTCACTAAAAGCCGATGTCTTGGCCCTAGGACTCGATGCTTGGCTTCCTCTAGTTGATGCCCATTGATTTGTTCCAATTGATTGTTGCGCTAGTTGCAAGGTTGAAAGTCTCTAGCGCCTTCTTAGCTACATCCAGGTTCCCCTTGGTTGTGAGTAGTAACAAGGCTATGTCTTCTAAAAATGCTCTATCTAGAAGTTCCTGAGTCACCCTTGCCATTCCCGGAAGTTGTTGTCTCACAACTGGCAGGGTGAGTCCTTTGATGCACCCACCTTCCACTAGAAACGTGCCCAGGGCCTTTGCCACAACCAGAAAGAGATAGGGTGCTAGCAGACACCTTTGGTGTATCAAGCATCCCAAATGAAAACTTGGTCCTATCTCACTGTTGATTGTGACTCTACTTGCAGCTCCATGGTATAGTAACGAGATCCTAGCAACCATCTCTCTCAGGATGCCAATTGTATGCATACACTTCTCAAGGAACCTCCAATCCACCCAATCATAGGCCTTCTCGAAGTTCAGTAGCCATGCTGCAGTTTGTTGATTGGAGATCTCTGCCCATCTTTGAGCCAGCAAGTATATCCAGATATTTTTTGCAATTTGCCTCTCTAGAACGAAACCTGTTTGCTATTCCCAGATGATCAATGGTATAACAGCTTGGAGCTTGAGGGTTGTTGCTTTGGTGTAGACCTTGTAAGATGTGTTGAGCATGGTGATCGGCCTCCAATTCCTCAACTCCTGCAAGTCCCCCCTCTTTGGGATAAGCACAATCTAGCCCTCAAGAATCTCGTGAGGCAAGGCCCCATCATGTTGAGCATCCCACCATTCTTGCAGTAGCAACGGGC